AGCCGTGGCATGCACAAATCCACCCACACCCAAGTGCTAGTCGCAGCCACGACAAGTTGAAGACAACCTTCACGGCCATCCGTGGTGCACACACAGTGGGACACTGGGCGATATTAAAGAAGGTCGAATCGGCAAAACACTTCATAATGTGGATCAACTTGGAGGACACTCAGCTGCGTGCCATCAGCCAATCACCAACGAACAAATACCGTGTGAGACCACTCTTCCAAAGATCCAGGAAAGGGTTTCCACACAAAAGGAAACATCCTGTGATGGTGACTGGGGGTGGAAGCGGAAGGCAGGATGAACCTAGCCAGATGGTAGATTCTCTAGGATAAAGGGGGAAAAGGAGGGGGCGCCATCTCACAAGGCCTGGTGAATAATAAGCTCTTTAAAAGATGTAGCTGCTGTTATTGCCACTGCCTCCGCCAAGCCCCTGCCCACAGCTCCTGTGCTCCACAGCCCATGGACCACAGAGCAGAACTCCCCTCCCTCATCCTCAGCCCAGGCTCCATGGGCCCCACCAAGCACGACCAAGGCCACACCTGAGAAGAGCCCTCCCCGCCTCAAGGGTTTTCAGGTGCATGTCACTCGCAGAGGCCCCATGCTCAGGGCCTGCCTAGCTCTGGGTCCATCATGGAGGCTGCTCAGCCTCAGAGACTCCTGGCTTTTCTCCACAGAGATTCAGCCCCATGTGGCCAGCTGGGAGCACCGGCAGCTGGAACCTCCTTCTCTGGACACCCCACATGACACCCCCCCTTTTCCCCTTGGACAAAATGTCTCCAGGGAATTTTTCTGGGCTGCCTGACAGGAGGGAGACACCCGCTGGCTCAGCCCTTCCCTGCCTGACTCTTCCCTACTGTCAGTCTGAGGAGACCGGGAGAGGATCCAGACTCTCAAAATGAAGCCAAAATTCCTGCCGGGGGTCTGTTGCTGCAAGGCGTCCCTGAGCGGCGGAGTAAATAGTTACCACACTCAGTTGCTAGCCAGCACTATTTCTTAACAAGGAGCCATTGGAAACAGGGCTCCTAGAGCAGCGGTTCTCAACCTGTGGGTCGCAACCCCATTTGGGGGTCAAAGCACCTTTTCACATGGGTTGCCCGATTTATAACAGTAGCAAAATTATAGTTATGAAGTAGCAATGAGAATAATTTCACTATCAGAACAGCCCGGGATTCAAACCCAGGGATTCAGGGAGGTAGACCTCTGGACACCGAAGGTATGTCAGAACAGCCACTTGTGGGACATTGAGGAGATGGGTTAGCGTGCAGGGTCCCCTCCCTTGAGTGTGCCATGACTGTTAGGCAGTGTGGGTGCACGGCTGGGGTAGGGGTGAAGGTGCAGGAACTCACGAGTGTCTGCCTAACTTGAGGGGCGTGGGGGGCACTGCTGTTTAGTGTCTCCATCAGCAACTGGAAGTGATCCCGGGCTACGAGGAGCTGCTGGCCGACATTGTGAACATCTGCGTGGATTACTATGAGAACAAGATGTATCTGACTCCCAGTGAGAAACACATGCTCCTCAAGGTAAGCCTCCCTGCTTCACACACCACCTGACCTCAGCCTGCACCCTCCTCTCCTTCTCAGGCTCAAGAGGGGTTTGCAGATGGTGTGTATGGTTGCCATACTTAAATAGTAATGTGAAGGAAAATTTCCATGATCTTTTCTTTCCAGTTTTCCACGAACTTTTTGAAGCCCTTCATACAGCTCTTACTGCACTGGATGTGTTGTGATCTGCCCTTCCCAGGGAGTATCTCAAGTGCCCCCAATATGCTAGCTCTTTCTAATTTGTCTCAAACCCAACATGGACATGAGCACCCTTCTCCATAAATCTTTGATCCCTTCTTCATTTTTCAAGGTTCTCTGGTAGGTGTCCCTTCTGGTCCCTGGCCTCTAGCCCTGGAGGGGTTCCCCTATTTTCGTGTCCAGGGCACCTCGATTAACTTGTCTGGGCAGTGTGGCTTGCAATGTGTTCTCTCTGGCTTCCTCTGGACAACTGGAAGTCCAGAAAAGCCGTTCAAGGCCTTGCCCACGTCTCTGCCTGGGCTGTTCCTGTAGCTCTCCTCAGGCTTGGGGTTTCCACAGATTCCTACTCTCAAGTCCAGGTTACTAAACTTGATGTTGCCTTCAAATTCTTGGACCTTCCCTTTCTCTCAATTGCCTTTCAATCCTTCCACACCGTGTCTCCGATTCTTTCTCTCTGCACCACACCCCGCCTCCCAAGCTGCCTGTCTCAAGCCTCTGGGCCTGGCCTGCATGAGTCACCTCAGCTTCCAGCAGTGGGTGCCTTCCCCACCTAATGGAAAAGTCGGACGCTCCTCTGTGGACCCTCTGCGTGCAGCCCTTGGGAAATGCCCCCAAGGATGACCTCCCGTTCCCTCACCCGTGTATCAGATGGGAAATGGAGGCACAGCAGGAACCATTCTTTCCTGGACAGAGGGAAGCAGCATTTGTTCCAGTTGACAGGCCCCCTCAGCTGTGCATTTGGCAAGAGGATCCAAACAAGCCAGCGTTCGAGAGAATGTTTACGTGAACTGGAGGATGAAGAATTTTCCGGGTTTTGTTTGTTTTTCACGTCACTCAAGGCTCTTCAGGAACCTTGACTTGGGGCACGATGTGATGATTATTTTTATCTTCGTCCAACACTTAGCAAATAGCTATCAAGTGCCCGCGGGGTGTTACAGGCCAGCGGTGTGACAATGAACGGGACAGTTTTCTCCAGAAACACCCACATTTTGTTTTCAGACAGATGCTGACTCAGATCCCAGCTCTGCCACTTACTAACTAGCTGTGTGGCTCTGGCAAGCTGCATCACTCCCCTGTGTCCCTGGTCTAGATCCCTCATCTCTAGAATGAGGTTATTGTGCAGAACTGTGACTTAGAAGGTTATTGTGAGAATTAAATAAGAGAACGTCTTTTCAAGCCTGAAACACAGTATCTGAGCCATGCATGGTAAAAGCTCAAGAAGTGGCTGCCAAATTTCTGGTTGGAACCTGATCTATGTTTTGTTTGTTTGTATTTTTTCTATAGCATCATATGACCTTATAGGGTGTGTGTGTGTGTGTGTGTGTGTATACCCATATATACAAACCTGGTTTTTTTGGGGGGGCGGGGGTTGAGGCTTCTCTGATAAATGTGACTATTTCCTATGGACTGTCCCTTCTCGTTCTAGGTCATGGGCTTTGGCCTTTATTTGATGGATGGAAATGTCAGCAATATTTACAAACTGGATGCCAAGAAGAGAATCAACCTTAGCAAAATTGACAAGTTCTTCAAGGTCAGCGGTGGGACTGGGGGCTCTCAGGTCTCTGGTGAAAGGAATGGGACCGGACAGTGGAGCTTGGTGGTCTACCTGTCACGTTAAGGATTCTGCAGGGAGGAGGAGCGCAAAGTGGCAGGCCCAGTCTGCCTCCAGACAGATGAGATGGCCCAGGGAACATCACGCAGGTTCCCAGGCGCCGTGCAGGATTGAGTTGGGAAGTCACGCAACCGCTCCTTCGTGTGCTGCTTTGCGTCTTGTCGTCTGGGGGAAGAAAGGAGCAACGGACAGCTCCTGCTTTAGTTTTCAGTACAAGTCAGAGCTCACAGAAGTAGGAGAATTGAAGGGGCGGCTTTTAATTGATTCTGATTCCCAGAATGACAGCTTCCCAGCAGGCCAAACCAAACACCACCTCAGCTTGCTCTGCACCACTAGGGGAAAGGCCTTATCAGCCTCCATCCACCTGCTCAGTCGCGAGCATGCCCATTCCAGAGCCTCTTGGATCTGAACGCCTGGTCACAAGATTTTAAAAATTAAAAATTGCCATTAAATTAAAACTTTTAAGGATTTTTTAAAATTTTGGTAACGGCATTTCATACTTAGAACCGAATTCTGTTTTAACCATGTAGTCTACTGTTGAGGGGTCAGACTCGGAAATGCCTGGCTTCATGCTGAAAAGATGGGCCCTGGCCTGCTCCTCCATCTCCCCAACTTTCAAAATTTCAATTCCTGAAGGAACCCATCGCGCTGGCCTGCTGCTTTTCAAGGCTGAAATGTTTACTGTTTATAGAGATGCTCTGATAGATAAAAGGGCCTCTATTGCAAGGCCCTTGGACGATTCACCGTTGCCTTACGTCAGCATTAAGGAGACTGGGGGGAGGAAGAGGGCGAGACAGAAGAATCCAACCTCACCCCAAAGAAGCCTAGGTCTGGTTCTGACTCTGCCACTTAATTGCTAGGTGGCTTCAGGAAAGTCAATGACAAACCATCCCCCACCCCCTCCACCCCCCTGCTGCCATTGAGTTGATTCTGATCGAGGAGACCCTGTGTGTTGGCGAGGAGTGCTTCACTTCGTAGGCCGTTCAGGGTGGGATCTTTCTAAAGCGGATCGCCAGGCTGTTCTTCTGAGGCTTCTCTGCGTAGATTTGAATCCCCCGCCTTTCAGCGATTTGCCAAGCTTGTTCATCCTTTGTGCCACCCAGAAACTTCTGAAAAGTCACCAGACCCCTTGAAACTCAGTGCCTTTCCAGGGTCCCCCGGAGGCCTAAGTGAGGTTCTGTGGGTGAGCCGGAGCCGGTTGTCACCTTTGCTCTTTGGCATCCAGGTGGCATGGTTTTGTGAAAAAGTTATTGAATCCATTTCTTCGTCTGTGTAATGGGAGTGATGATACTACCTAACTCCGTGGATTGAGATCGTGGTTTTATAGAAAGCATCTAGTCACTAGACTCGAGCGCATCGGAAGCAGAAAATAACCAGGAACCTCCATTTGTCCTAGAATTCGGATGGGAGTAGCCTGCCCTCTAGCGTTAGGTATCATGATTTCCTATGCAGCGCCCAGATGCCCAGAGTTCCCAGCAGTGCAGATCTGCTACTCTGGGGAAAGTAGCAGAAAGCAAGGGCACCAAGAGGCAGCCCATAGTGTCCTCTCCTTTCATCCTTTCTGCTGAGCAACCTTGGACAAGCCACTCTGCCTCTCTGGAGGAGTCCGTTGGAGGCACAGGAGCACCTGGGTGCTTGCTGAGGCTCCTTCCGGTTCAGGGTCACATGGAGAGAGAAACTAGGCATCAGCCCATATGCAGTAGCTGGCCTTCCCCGCTGGGCTGGCAAAGGCTGTGGCCCTGCTCCTCCCCTGGTGACTCACACGCTGTGTTTGCTTCCTTTGCAGCAGCTGCAGGTGGTGCCGTTATTTGGAGACATGCAGATAGAGCTGGCCAGATACATTAAGACCAGTGCTCACTATGAAGAGAACAAGTCCAAGTGAGTGCCTGCCGTAATGTCTCTCGGCTCCCGCGAGCACACCCAGCCTGGGCAGGGGGCCGAGGGGCCACTTCAGCCCCTCCTCCCTCCCCAGAGCCTGGGCAGGTGGATCCTGCATCACACTGGCACCTGGCTAGAGGGAGCCTCGGAGTGTGCTCTGAGCCCTTTTGCACCCACCTTTGCTGCTGGGGCTCAAAAGGGCCCAGAGCACAGCCAAGGCCCCTTCTCCGACCAGCGGTGACCCACATCGTCCCCTGGTGGGGAGCAGAGGTGGGCTCTCAGTGGCCAGGTGGGATGAGATGACTTGGGTCCCCACCGGGGGTTTTCTTCATTTACCGGTTCTCTCCTCAGGTATCCTGTCTGTGCTGCCAGTATGCAGTTGAAGGTGTGGGCGGTGACATGGTGGACAGCCTCAGCTTGGTTCACGTCACAAACCATGATTGAATGTAGTCTATGCCAAGGTTGGAGGAGTGCTGGGGGCCCAGTGGTTAAGTGCTGGGCTGCCAACTGCACAGTCGTTGGTTAGAATCCGCCAGCTGCTCCCTGGGAGAAAGAGATGGCAATCTGCTTCCGTAAAGATTTTCAAAAAAAGAAACAAACCAAACTCACTGCCATCGAGTCAGCTCTGAGCCAGAGACCCGGTCGGATAGGGTGGAACCGCCCCTGTGGGTTTCCGAGGCTACAACTCTTCTGGGGAGTGGAAAGCCCATCTTTATTCCAGGGCACTGACTGGTGGCTTGGAACTGCTGACCTTGTGGATGACAGCCCAATGTGTCACCACCAGGGCTCTGTGGTGAAAGGGTTACTGTCTTGGAATCCCTGTAGGACTCTGCCCTGTAGGGTCTCTGTGAGTCGGACTCGACACAAAGGTGTTGGGTCTGGTTTGGTGCCAAGGCTGCAGTCCCTCATGAAAGTGAGAGGGGCTCTGGCTACCTCTCTCTGGATCTGTGAAAGAGCTTTTGTCCCTGAGCATCTCTCCCAAAGCAGAGGGCTTGGTTCAAGAAAAATGGCCTCTTTGTATTGAAAAAGACTACCTGTCCTTTAGTCTAGTCCTAACCTTTGCTCCTATCATTCAGTCCCAATCCCTTGCTCTTGGGCCCCAGCCCTAAGCCCCAATTTTTCAAGCGGAGCCCTAAACCCAGCATCTGACTCCCACCCACCCATCCTTTAGGCTTTAAACCCTATATTAACTCAAACACACTGCCATCAAATAGATTCTGACTCATGGTGTCCCCATAAAATACTAGACCTGCCTCTGTGGATTGTAACTCTTTACAGAGTAGAAAGTCTCATCTTTCTCCCATTGGGCAGCTGGTGGTTTTGAACTGCTGACCTTGCAGTTAGTAGCCTATCAGGTAACCCACTACACCACAAGGCCTCCTCTAGGTTAACTAGCATCGTAAAAGTATGTGCATAGAGAGTTAAAGAGGCTTCCTAAATATAGCCAGACAACTCATAGGATTGGTTTATTGGGTCAAAGGGCTTGGGACGATAGTCTTCGATGACAACTTAGTCAGTGGGCATAGCACGGTTCAAAAAGTATGTTCTATATCCTAGATGGGGGAGTAGCACCTGGGGTCTTAAAAACTTGAGTGGCCATGGAAGATACAACTGTCGGTGTTTATTTATCTGGAGCAAAATGAAGGAAACCAAGACTCAAAGAAGAAATTCATCTGTAGGATGACTAGCCCAAAGAAACCACCGCCTCTTTTAACTGGAGACCAGAAGAACTAGAGGGTACCCGGCTACCATTATCCACGGTTCTGACCAGAGAGGCCCCAGATAGAATGAAAGAAATATGTAGAACCAAACTCAAAGGCCTTTAAAAATAAAAATAAAAAGGCCAAACCTACTGGACGAATTGTCTAGAGGAACTTGTGAGACTCACCCAACAATGCCCTTGGAATGCCCTAAAATACCCTTTGGACGTGGAATTGATGCAATTTCTGCAGGTCCCTTGCATACACATAACAGATTAGTCTATAAAATAAACAATATCATCTGCACGTGATGTGCTCCCATGAGCAGTGTACCACATGAGACCAAATTGTCAGCATTTACTGGAGAGCAGAGATGAGACGATAAGGAGGAGAAGGAAGCTCAATCAGTAGAAACAAACGAACAGATGGATATCAGGACAACGCTGACACGGTGTGTGCTGGTCTGGGTAGACTAGAAAAACAAATTCATAGACACTCATATGTACATAAGAAAGAGGTTTATATACAAGAGCAATTGAATATTGAGAAACATCCCAGTCCAGTCCAGACCAATTCTATAAGTCCTATATTAGCTCATATGTCCTATCTATACCAATCTATAAAGTCCTCTTCAGACTTATGAATTATGTGCAATGATGCTGAATGCAGGAATATCACAGGCCAGTGGGTTGGAAGTCTTGTGGATCCAGTGGTGGTGTAAGCATCTCAGCGCTGGCAGGGGTCTCTACATGGTTTCTCCAACTCCAGAGGTCTGGTTGCATCAGGGCAGGTCCATGGGGCGTAGTGCCATGTGTCTTGTCAGTAGAACGTCTCTCAGGGAGTGAGCCTTGAGTCTTGTCAGTAACGAGTCTCCAAGGGAGTGAGCAGAGAGAGCAAAGTATCTTCTGCTCCAAGGAGTTCCCAGAATTCTCAGGAGAAGGCCACACCCACACAGGCCTCATTGGCTCAAATCTGATTGACAGACTAGGCTCCACCCCTTCACTCTTAATCTTCTCAAATCCCAAATTGACACCAGATTATGTAAATACCACATCGAGTGTACTTGAACTCCACCAGCCTGGAGTGCTGGCAGATGAGTCTGACCAAGGAATGCCAGGCTAGTTTGTGTGTGTGTCTCATGGACTACAGGTTGGTGAGGAGGTTTTATAAGGTAAAACGACAAGAAAACATGGCGTCAGGAATGGTTCCTCGTTCTTCTCTGGATGAAATCTCAGCCACCCGAGATTGTGTAATAGATAGCGGAGAGTCAGACTTGCCTGCCACATGTGTCTAACCCTCACCCGAGTCCCTCAAAATCTTCAAAATCGGAGTAATGCCACACTGCTCAATAAGCACGAGGAAGCCGATAGCCATTCTGCATACCGTTATGAGTATTTTTATTCGGACCACTTCTCCTTTTGATAGAGTGAACTCTTTCCTAAATAACTTTCTACTTTTTTTGGAGGGGGTTGGGTGGGTTGTCCTGGATTTCCCAGCATGCTTAGTCTGTTTCTTGGGTCACCCCGCACTGGTTGGAGGAAGAGGATGAAGGAAATGTCTCTCTCCTCTTGAGAAAGAAGGGTGAAGATTTGTACCCCAATTCTGGATGGGTTCCCCAAGGGTGTCCTCCAAGAGAGTTGAGGCTAGAGAAGGGGAGGATGGGAGAGGAGAGAGAACCAAGATGTCTCTCTGAAGGGTTTGGCTCTCTCTCACGGTTGCTGCGGGGTGGCCCGGCACCTCATGAAGAAGAGCTGCACTCGGTTAGGTCTCTCCAGTCCCAGCCCACGGCCCTCTTGGAAGCTACGTTTTGATCGGAGGCTGGGGAGATGTGGTTAGGGAGGCTGCCTGGCCGCTGTTTCTTTGCTCTGATTCCAGTCCTTTATGGCACTAGAGAGTCCTTCCCTGATTACTCACTCAGAACTCTGGTAAGTACTTGGACTGAGTGCCTGGAAAAGCCTGTGATTGGGTCTCAGAGGAGACCAGCCCCAAAGGAGGAAGGGGTGGGGTGGGGGCAGGGGCGCTGCAATTCAGCAGCACATTATTTAGCAGGGTCCCTCGCCGAGTTACCTGGAATACCTCCTGGACTCACCCACAGGGAGAGCCAGCTGTGTTGGCCGTGTGTTGGAAGAACCAGGAGCAGCTACTGTGTGGAAGGAGCCAGCCCCACCCTGGCACTTCCAGCAGGACCTGCTCCGACCCATGATTCTCTACCCAGGTGGACGTGCACCCAGAGCAGCATCAGCCCACAGTACAATATCTGCGAGCAGATGGTGCAGATCCGGGATGACCACATCCGCTTCATCTCTGAACTCGCGCGCTACAGCAACAGTGAGGTAAGCACCCTCTGGCTGCCGGGATGGCGGTGCATGTGGGCCCAGGACAGAGAATGGACACCTGACATGCTGGAGCGCAGCAGTGAGGGTGGTGCATGGGGAGGCAGGTGGGAAGATACAGATTTTGATCGACCATGGGCAAACTGTTCCACATCACTGTGCCTCGGCTTCCTCATGTCAGAAATTGAGAGTCATAATATTACCTACGAAGGCCCACTAAGAAGATGAAGTGATATGATTGGTGATACATGGAGCGTGTGCTCTGCCGGCAGATGTTCATTGTGAGTTCTCGGTGTTCAGTATCCAAATCATTTTTACTCCGGAAGCCAGCGCAGACTTCTGAGTGCCCATGCACATGACACTATCTAAATATTTCAAAAGCCCACACTAATTTCACTGTAAAAATTTTAAAAACACACAAGGCAAAAGAAAACCACAGAAATCTCCTAACATCTTGATAGGCACTATTTTTTTTACCCAATAATTATCTTGTTGTTGAGTTTTTCCTTTTCCCCCCCCTTAACATAGAAACGATTAATGTGCAGATCTCCAAATAATAATACAGATATGCAGAAAAGAGGGAAATTGATCACATAAAATAATACCATTCAGAACTAACGATGATTAAACTTTGGGTGTATATGTCCTCTGAACTTCCTGTACTAGCTGGTGTGTGTGTGTGTGTGTGTGTGTGTGTGTGTGTGTGTGTGCGTGTGTATTTTGTTAGAATACATTTAAGTCATCTGACATGAATTCTTGGTGGCCTAGGGTTAGTTCTAGATTGGAGTCTCTGGGTGGCTACTAATTGAAGGACTGAAAGTTTGTTCACCCCGAAGTCCTTGAAAATAAGGCCTAGTGACCAACTTCTGAAAAACCAGCCACTGAAACCCTACAGAGCGCAGTTCTGCTCTGACACATACAGGGTCGCTGTCCTTCAGAATTGGTTCAGTGATCACGCTGTGCTACTCCCTGTTCCAAGAGCGCTGGTGCCCCAGTGGTTAAGTGCTTGACTGCCAACCCCAAAGTCAGCCGTTCAAACCCACCAGCTAGCTGCTCTGAGAGAGAAAGCTATAGCAGTAGTCTGCTTCTGCAAAGTTTGATAGCCTTGGGAACCCTATGGGGAAATTCCACTCAGACCCTCTGTGAGTCAGCAAGGGGTGTGGGGTTTGGTTGTTGCTGTTATTGTGTTGTTGCCCCCAGGTTGGCTCACGGGCTCCCTTGTGTGGCATGTGACCCTAGTGGTCATGCCCTTCAAACTCGAATAGAGAAGGCATTGCTCCTTCTTGTTAGTGGCCATGGAGTTGAGATGCTGACTCATGACAACCCTGTGTGTATGGAGAACTGCTCTTTAAGGTTTGCTAACTGTGGGCTTTGGGAAGCAGATCCCCAGGCCAGCCTCTTGAGGCGCCCCTGGACAATGGAGCCATTCCATCAGCTGGTGTTCAGATGTTTAACCATTTGCACCACCCAGAGACTCCTCATGTAAGCACAGGGCAGCATATTTGAAATGGGCGCCGTCTGGCACAGGTGAGCGGTATGGGCATTGGGTCACTTGCCCACCTTTGGTAAACACTGACAGATCAAGCCCAGACTGCTGGTGATCTTCACATGTGCCAGTCAACTGCACAGCCGCTGGGGGAATCGTTTGCCTCGATGCTTGGGCCACCTGCACTATTGCTTTTCTTGATGCGGGCTCAAAGGGAATCTGCCTTTAAAGTATCATATATTGTTTAAGTGTGTAAACACACATACACGCACGTGATTGTTCTTTTTGAGAGCCATCCAGTCAGTTCAGACTCGCTGAAACCCCACGTTCAGCAGAAGGACACACTGCCTGGCCTGAGCCATCTCTACAGTCGTTACCTTGGAGCCACTATGTGAACCTATTTCTTTGAGATCTTCTTTCTGAGGGACCCTCCCTTCACCATGAAGCATTATAGCGTTCTCCAGGGACCTGTGGAAAAATGGAATGCAAAGAACATATATGTTTCCCCATGAACTTTGAAGCCCCCTCATGCTTTATCCTGTGCATCCACACAAGTATACATACATGCAATATTACATGGTCAAGTAGAACAACAGATGGATATTTAATTGTCTACCCCAGTGCTTTTCAATCCAGGAGTGATATATCACTCATGAGTTGTAAAATCAATTAAGTGGGTTGTGATTGGCAATTTTGAGTGCAATAGAACAGTCAATCAGAGGGGATCGGATGTATTAATAATGAGAATGCTCCATGAAACTGTTGTGCCGTATATATATTTGATATCCCCCATGTTCATATGTGCTCCTGAGTCACTGTGGAGTTTTTCATTCTTGCTACAAGTGATAGTCAGAAGGTTTAAGAGCCACTGCTCTGCAATACCACAGAGTGGTGCAGAACAGACAGCGGTGGCACGGCCCCTGTGGTGGGACCCTCAGCCAGGTCAAGCCCTGGCCGTCCACTTACCCATGAAGGGAGTACCACCACAGCTCCTTCCCTAAAACGCTCTGGAGAGGGATAAGGAAATAACACACGAACAGTGCCAAGCACTTGGACGGGGAGAGTAACTGCCATGTTCCCCAGGTCGTGACGGGCTCGGGGCTGGACAGCCAGAAGTCTGACGAGGAGTACCGCGAGCTCTTCGACCTGGCCCTGCGGGGCCTGCAGCTGTTGTCCAAGTGGAGCGCCCATGTCATGGAGGTGGTGGGTATCTTCGTCCCCTCCACACTGAGCCCGCTGTGCCTGGTTCTCACGCCATCGCTCCCCACTGCGTGTTTATTTATTTTTAACCATACAACTGAGCCATACCCTTCACCCATTTGAAGTGTGCAATTCAGTATCTTCACAGAGTTATACAACTATCACCACAGTCAATTTTAGAACATTTCTGTTACCAAGAATCTTTATTGCCCATTCACTACCATCTCCTACGTCCTCTCCCCCGGGCCTTGTGGTGTGCCATCGAGTCAACAGCGTAGTTGTTAGGCTCTGGGCTGCTCACGGCCAGGTAAGCAGTCTGAACCCACCCGTCACACAGTGAGAGAAAGATGAGACAATCATTCCATGAAGACTTACAGCCTTGGGTGCCCTACAGAGTGATTCTGCTCTGTCGTATGGTCGCTGTGAGTCAGAATCGACTCGAAGGCAGGGGTTTCTCTTTGGTCTGCTTTTGGCCAAGTAGAACTCTCCTGTAGGGTTTCCTAGGCTGTAAGCTTTATGGTCCCAGATTGCTAGGTCTTTTCATCCATGGAGCCACTGGTGGATTAAACCATTGGCATTTGGGTTAGCAGTTGAGCACTGTACTGATGGTATCCCCAGGGCTCCTTCCCTAAGACCTAAGCAACCACTGATCCACTATCTGTCTCCATCGATTTTCCTCTCCTGAATCTTTCATAGACTTGGGATAACATAGTCTGTGGTCTTTTGTAACTGGCTTATTTTAGTTAGACTAATGTTTTTGAGGTGCATTCTAATTGTAACACACATTGGTCAGTGCTTCAGGTTCCTTTGTATGCATGTACCACATTTGGGTTATCTCTTCATCGGTGGATGGACAGGTGGGTTGTTTCCACTCCCCCTAGTACTCCTGGAAGCTGGTTCACCCCACTGACAAGTTCTGCAACAAGGACTGCCCTGGCACAGCAGAAGAGTACGAGAGAGCCACACGCTACAATTACACCAGCGAGGAAAAGTTCGCCTTCGTAGAGGTAGGTGCTGCCTGCCTCCCCACCTCTGGAAGCAGCTGGTCAGGGCCTCTCATGGTGGTCCCAGGAGTGACCCTGAGCAAAACGACCACTTTGGGCAATAAAGATTTGAGGAGATAGTATGGGGGCCACATCCGACCTCCTCTGGCTCCCAAGGTCAATTACAAAAAGGCAAAGGTCAGAAAGGCCTATCCTTTATCTCTTGTTGCACTATTCTGACACCGCTTGTCCCTCCCAGAGCGCTGCCTGCTTTTAATCTGGCTTCAACACGTCATGGTATTGGCCATTCAGAACCCCAACAGTGCTGCTGATTGTGGGATCAATCGTGGGAGTTAACAGGTGGGAGATTCTCAGCATACAGGTGTTCAGGGAGGTTAGTTTTTTCTCGGCAAGCAGGCCTCTTGCTGGCCCGCAGCCTCATGGCGTGGCCTCTGCCCTGTTTGGACAGTATTACAAAACTCTTTAAGGCTATTAATAAATGTCCCAAGGGCATGCCACTCTGCTATAAGCCTCAACCTGCTCTAGCCCCAGCTTGATGAGTCAGCAAATCCAGCTTCCTTTATTAAGAGCCCCAAAGCACCCATTTCTACGACCCAGCCTCCTGCCCCAGGGCACTCTCACTCAGCATTATGTACTCTGTGGGTTGGGAAGCGCTCCACTCTGTCTCGTGCTCCAACTCCTGGTTCTGCCGCTGCTGTGGCCCTGCCACTCCCCTGGTGTCCAAGCTGTCTCCTGGATCAAGGAGGCTCAGTGTGCAGGGATCTCAGTGTCTAAAGGACATGTGTCACTCCCGACTCATCTCTCTTGCTCATCTTAAGATCCCCTTTTCTGCCTCTAAAACAGCTGATTTTAGACCCAGCAGGACAGCAATCACACTATCAGATACTGGGCCTCCAAATTTTAACCTCTGACTTTATTACCTTTTCTCTACTGTTGCACGTTACTCCTTTTTGTCAGCCTTACGTCATATTTCCTCAAATTTGTCTGCCAACTCGATTAGAATTTTGATGATAATATTTTTCATGTCCAAAACCTCTGAATTTTCTTTTTTTGCAGTGCACTGATCTTATGTCAGAAATGTGGTAATTATAATTATTTAATCAATTTTATTGAGATAGAACTCACATAAACTAAACTGCATCCATGAAAAATGTTCAAGTCAATGAATTCTGACAGCTAGCAACATCACGAACCCACCAATACAATCAGTGTATAAACATTTCCATCTCCCCCTAAAGAAGTCGTGTGCCCCTTGCAAAAAGGAAGTTGCTTCCCCACCCCTTGTCCCAGACAAATACCTAGTTGCCCACCATGGCCCAGGCACCAGGGAGAAGGTGTGCGCTGCATCCGCAGGGCTTACCCAGGCTGCTCTCACTGTCTGATGTGTGTGTGGGTGGGGGGTGGGGGAGGGAGACGAGCAAGTCATAATGGGTGTGACAGGTGTGATGACTGCGAGGGGGCTGGTCTGATACACGCTTTCTCCACCAAAATCTGAACCGATTGCAAAATTAAGGCTTGAGGCATATGGTGTTAAAGAATCGGGTTTATCGTCATTAAATCTGGGCTAGAGACGGTGACTTCTACCCCCAGTCCAACAGCTTTCCTCTTCTTCCCCCAACCCCTTCACTGAGTAACGGGCTTCACGCCTGCGTCAACACAGGCCTCCCTTCCTCGCGATGAGGAGAGGACAGGCACCCAGAGAGCAGACACACAGGCAGGCAGGCCAGGCTTGGTACACTCACCACGGAGACCAGCCTCCCATCCAAACCAGATGTGAGGGAGCCCAACAGAAAGGTGGAACCTTGTCTCCCATGGCTTCTGCAGGGGAGGATGTTCCTGTTGTATAGATCCAAGCAGCAGGGCACATAAGGGAGAGGGGAGCGGGGAGGGAGGGGAAAAATGAGGACCCAATGTCGGGGGTTTAAGTGGAGAGAAAATGTTTTGAGAATGATGTACAAATGCGCTTTACACAATTGATGTGTGTATGGATTGCAAAAAAAGTGGAAGGAGCCCCTAATAAAATGTTTAAAATAAAAAAAAATTTTTAATCAATAGTTTCAAACCATGGAAAAACTTAAAATTCTCTACTTATTATATCTTAAAAAGTTTTTGTTTTGCTTTGATTTACTTTTAACCCAGGGTAAAATAAATTGGTAGGAAATGTTAAAAAAAAGAAAGAAAGAAAAATCCCATTACCTTGTAATGAAATAAATAAATAAATAAATAAATAAATAAATAAATAAATAAATAAATAAAGGATAATAAATAGGAAATGTACCATGGAAAAAGTCTCTGTTTGATTTCGTATATGGGTGCATGGAAGGATCCCTGGTGGTATAGTAGGTAAAGCCCTCAGCTGCTAACAGAGAGGTTGGCAGTTCAAACCCACCACCGTCTCCATGCGTGAAAGATGAGGCTGTCTGGTCATCATTCTTGGAAACCCACAAGGGCATTTCTGCTCTGTCCTGTGGGGCTGCTAGGAGTCGGAGTCGACTGGACGGCAGTGGGATTGGTATTTCCGATGGGTCTGTGGCATGTGGAGAGGCCTCCAGGAGTCACATTGCTACTCAAATTGTCCTCAAGGAATAAGCGATCGATCTGGCCAACTGTGTCACCAAGCACACTGCTCCGTTTAGCTGATGTGTTTGTCTTACAGTGAGACATTCCTGATGGAGGAAGCCTGGTGTTGCTGCGTGCCCCAATGGGCATTCCCGATGAGCCAGCACTTGGAGTAGCATTAGCCTAGTCCTGTGGCGGTCCTGGCCAGCCCTTGAAGCCTCAGCCCTGTTTCTGTCTAATGCCTTCCCGTGACGTGGTAGAGGGTATGTGACACACTGTTGCACTGCAGCCTGACGAGCCTGACCTTCATCTGTACCTGACCAGGTGATCGCCATGATCAAAGGCCTGCAGGTCCTCATGGGCAGGATGGAGAGCGTCTTCAACCAGGCCATCAGGAACACCATCTATGCGGCCCTGCAGGACTTTGCCCAGGTGACTCTGCGCGAGCCCCTGAGGCAGGCGGTGCGCAAGAAGAAGAATGTGCTCATCAGGTGGGTCTGCGGGTGACCGCGGTCAGCGGGACTCACTACTGACCAGGGAGGCAGTGCCTGGCTCATCTGCCTCTGCGGCAGGCTCTGAGTTCAGGCAGACTTTTTCTAGATCATTTTCTGAGTCAGGAGTCTCTCTTGGGAGAATTTGAAATTGAAACTGGGGTGAATTAAGCTCCGGTCTCCAGGTTTGAAACCCATTCCCACCCCTGCTTAGTGAAATGAGCTGCATCTCGTTGCTATCCTGCTCCACGCCTCCCTTTTCCTCATTTGTGAGACGGAGATGACCAGGGTACCTGTTGCCCAGGCAGTTGGGACGAGGAGGTGAGTTAAGCACACAGCAGCAAAGAGTAGGTGTGTAACAAATAGAAGCTATTAGGAAATATTTAAATACACATGATTTAATTGAACTCATGTGCCAAAGAGATTTTCCTTGAGCCAGAGAGAAAAAGAGGTAAGTTCTCTCCCGAGGTGTGGGCTCAGAGCCGAGTGTTCAAACATCTAGCGGGCATCAGGACAAGCTGGGATGGAGGTTAAAGTGCAGAGTCTTGACCCACCCCTTCCAATACTAATCCAGCATCTCAGGGTGGGCACCGGGATGAACTGGTGTCACTCGCATCTCAGTCATGCCAAGGCCCCTGGGGGATCAGCAGCCCTGGAAAGAGGCTGGCAGCTGTCCTCCCAGTAGTCAGCTGCCCTGAGCGTCAGCTCTTCCTTCCCCAGTGTCCTGCAGGCCATCCGGAAGACCATCTGTGACTGGGAGGGGGGCCGAGAGCCTCCCAATGACCCGTGCTTGCGAGGGGAGAAGGACCCCAAGGGAGGCTTTGACATCAAGGTGCCGCGGCGTGCAGTGGGGCCCTCCAGCACGCAGGTAAGTGGCTGCAGGCACAGGCCAGCTTTGCAGACCCCGAGAGCAGTCGGGCCACAGTGGGTCATCCTGGCTGGCCAATGGGCAGCGGGGCTGGGGTCCTTGGGCGGAGGGGCAGGGTCAAGCGGCTGCTCTAGCCTTACTCTTCCCTCTTGCCATGAGATAGAAGGGAGGACCACCGGCCTAAGATTCAGGAGACCTGGATTCTAGTCCCAGAGACCTGTGTGACCTCGGGCACCTTACACGGTCCCTCTGTGCCTTGGTTGTCTAATCTGGCAAACGGGGGTGGTGACCACCCAGCCCGTGAAGCAAGTGTCAGATGAGCTTCAAACTCCATATGAGAGGGCTTCAATAAATCCATGGGGAAGTCCCATTGTCTTTTCACTAACGTTTTGGAGCCCCCTTGTATACACATCTATGTACGCCTCTTTAATGGACCCAGCCCCTTCCCTGCAGTGGCACCCTGCTCAGCCATTCTCAAGTTCTGCTTCTGATGTGCTGTGTGAGCTTGGGCAAGCCCCTCTACCTCTCTGAGGTCTGATCATCTTCTCTGTAAAGTTAAATCTTTGGATAAGGTTACTGGCCAAGGACCCCTGGTACTATTACCCTTATCCCCAAAGGAGCACACGTCTTGACAGCCACTGACCCTTTAGAGAAAGTCTAAGTCTTTCTCCAAATCCTTGCAGTGTCCAGTCAGAACTTCTGAACAAGAGGCGGCCAGTAGCTTGTCCAGAGCAGATGTAAAATTAGAGAGAGAGAAGTGGGGAGGATGGGGACGTGGGGGGTAACGGATTTTGGCATCATATTCACACTCTTGCTTGAGGTGAATTTCTGGTGGGCTTTTTGAAGGAGTCTTTGGGTGGTGTCAACAGGGAAAACACTCCGTGGCTAACTGCCAGGTTGAAGGTTCAAGTCTACCCAGAGGTCCCTCGGGAGGAAGGCCTCTGGTGATCTTCTGGAAGCTGAGCCATTGGATCCCCCGTGGAGCACAGTTCTACTCTGCTGCACATGGGTTCTCCTTGCTGACTGAACGGCTGGCTGCTTGGCTTGGTTGGGCTTTGCAGAGTATCGGAGCAAAACATGCGGGCCCATTGCCACTTCTGGAAGCTCCATGCTGGGAACTCTCCTGCTTCGTATGCCTCGCACGTCTTGCTCGACTTTGGACTCCTGAGGTCCTGAGTCCTCTGAGATGAGTCGTTGTAGCCCCAACCCTCTCCCCGCACGTGTGTGTGTGATTCTGTCTGTGTCTGGGCACGGGGTGGGCAGGAAGGAGCCAGGGGAATTCTCAGCAGCGTCGGCCTCGCCTCCCTTGCTTTCACAGCCCTGGTCTCCCCTGCTGGCTGTGGACTGTCCCAAGGAAGTGCCTGCAAACTAGGGGGCCCAGGGGGCCCGAGCCAGGCTTTCATGTGTTTCCATGGATCTGAGGCATGCGTGAGCAAGGAGCAGAAATAGCAAACGCCGGCCTGAGAAAGAGGAGGGTAGAAATGGGGACAAACGATCAGGAGAACCGAGAGAAAGAATGAAAAAGGAGGACAGAATGTTTTATATAGGTAGTGCAGCACGGTCATCAATACTTATGCTTGGCCCAAGCCTCACCACGTCATGCCACGTGACTGATGTATTTAATAAACGCTGATGAATTTAAAAGCCTCCAGACAAAATGGGAAAAGAGCACTTAGAACCAAATTAGGCCCCCGTCCCCCATCCCCTATTTTACAGATGGGGAAACTGAGGTCCAGAAAGGGGCAGTGACTTGTCCAAGTCACAAGGTGGGACAAGTGGAGGTGGGACAAGAACCCAGGTCTCCTGACTCCCACCGCGGGGCTTGGGGACAGCCCCCGGAGCACACTAGGCATCTAGTAGCGCAGGGTTAGAGCCCGCCGGTCCCAGTGAAGTCAGAGCTGCGTGCAGCGGGCCCTCCCTCAAACAGATGCTGGAGTAGGGCCACGCAGAGTCGCTGCACGCCACGGCAGACTGGGCCGCGGAAGCCGGGCCGTGAGGTCGTCCCAGAGCAGAGCTGCTGGACCTGAGGGAGGACCAGACATGGCCACCGACAGGCATCCACGGGGAGGGGCACCATCTCAGAAACCAGCCACCACCGCCGTGCCTATCGCCAGCTACAGCCCTGTGCTGCAGCGGGTGCCTGGCCCATTTATGTGCCCCCGCCCCGCCCAGGGCCAGGCGCGTGGCAGGCAGAGCTCTAGAGAAGCCCCGGAGGCCCTCCTTCCGGGCCTGGTGGCAGAGGGAGGTTGGAGCCTCTCCAAGGTGGTTGGCAAGTGGCCCCCATCAGTCGCGGCGGCTCCCCACTGTATACAATACCTCTTGCTTTTCTCTCTCTTTCTCTCTCTTCTCTCTCCCTCTTCCCTGTCTCTCCTGCCCTCCCATCCCTCTTCCTTCTCTCCTATCTATGTCATAGGCCTGCCAGTGGTCCCCGCGGGCTTTGTTTCACCCCACTGGTGGCACACAGGGCCGAAGAGGCTGCCGATCCCTGGTATACCACCGCCTGGCTGGGTTGGTTGGGGTACACTTCTCCAGGAGGCAGCAGGAATGGACTAGCCTGGTTCCTCAAGGCCCCTTCCAGCCCTAAGATCCACAGACAAATGATGTGGAGGCACTGGCGGGAAAGAAAAGTCTAGATTAGCAAAGAGAACGGCCCTTCCACACATGCACTCTTTGCATTTAAGGCACCCTGTAAGCAGGAGTGAAGTGTCGTTTTAGACCTCCTGTGTAAGTACCAATATTAACCCGCTTTCCACCCAGGAGTTTGATGGGCTGCGCATTGCAGCTGAAGCCACCAGGGGGCGCCATCTTTCAGGAATGGATTCAGGACTAGGCGGGTTGAATGGAGGTGGTGGTGGGGAGCTGGTTTTGCTCATGTGGCATTGCACAGGTGATCAGAATGTTAGAGCTGAAAGGGGCTGGTTTGAGAACGCATCTGGCCTGACTCCCTCAAGGTCACAGATTAGAAAACCGAGGCCCAGACTGGGGACTGTGCTGCTGAAGGTCACACAGCGAGTCGATGGCAGTGCCTGGCCTTGAACCCCCAGACCATTGGTTCAAGCCCCAGTGCTCCACCCATGGGTCACCATGGCCGTCCAGAAAGGCAGAGTGGCATGGAATGAGGTTTCCCTCTGATGCCCACTATTGACCGAGCAATGCAGCCAGGAACCTCTCCCAGGGCCTGAGCCTGCCTGGTGTCACCAGACTCACCCACCAGGGGCACCAAGGGACCTCCCTCCCAAGCTGACCAGTCTCCCTTTTGAAGGTTTTCTCAGTTCAAAGTACACTTCTCTGACCCTAAACTTCTATAAGACAATGATTCTTCAGAGCAGGCATCTGCTTGGGAAAAATACGTGTGTATAGTCTGTACACAGTCCAAAGCAGCCGTCTGCCTGTGACAGAGCACTGGCCCTGACGCTTCCTCCACCTTCCTTCCTTTTCAAGCTGTACATGGTGCGGACCATGCTGGAATCACTCATCGCAGACAAGAGCGGCTCCAAGAAGACCCTGCGGAGCAGCCTGGATGGACCCATTGTCCTCGCCATTGAGGACTTCCATAAGCAGTCCTTCTTCTTCACACACCTGCTCAACATCAGTGGTGAGCCCCAGCACACCGGGGGCGCCAGGCAAGAGGAGCCCCCAGTCCCAGAGCGACGGAGGCTGCTGGGGCACGAGTTACAAAGAGACGTGCTCATTGACCCAACTCATTGACACCCTTTGCCACCATGGAAAACACACTTTCCAGTGGACTTGGAGAGCTAGGAAGCTGCCCTACCTGCCACTCCCCCAGACTCCTTTCCCACTGGTTGAGCTAAATCTGGCTAGCAGATCAGTTGGGACTGGTTGGGCTTAAGCCCATTGCAGATGGAGATCAAAACCAGGAACACACACACACACACACACACACACACACACACACACACACTCCTGCAGGAGGCACTAGTAGATTGGCTTTTTGTTGCCCAGCAGAG